AAGGTCAGTGTAGCGTACTCAGCGAATGGATAAACTGAATCATCATTTCACAAGGCCACAAGCCCCTACACAATCCAAGTCCCAACATGGAACTCAGAAGAGAGACAAAGTTGAATTTTCTCTTAAATAACTGTTTCTTCTCAAGAAATACATCTAATTACTAGATACTTGGAAGTATTTTCAAATGAGTTCACAGAGATAAGGGTTGATTTAGATGATCTATAAGGATCTCCTAGTTCAGAAATTCTATTAACTTGGGAATCAACATGCCACAACTACAGAGCAAGCAACTGTAACAAAAAGCAGAAAAATGAATTTCCTTCATTCAGGGCTAAAGCCCTTCACCCAATCCCATCAAGGCTCCCTCCCCAAAATTCCCTAATACATAATCACACTCTTCCCATCCCTCAAATTGGCAAGCCCTATGCTACACCAAAGCTGACATGCTACACATTATTCATATGGGTGAAAGGTACTCAAAAACATACACTGCCTGCCCCTTACAATCTTACTCTATTATTAGTCCAAGTTGAAAATAAAAAAATTTACATTCACCACCAAAACAGATGATTTAGCAACATGGGCTGCCTGCTTCATAGTTGGATTTCTTTTGCTCAGTCTGAGGTATGACAAATTCCCAGATCATTCTGATGTAAACACTAACACTGTACCTCATTTCATCACCCACCACAGCTACCTGGTATGAAGCAGCACTGTGTCTAAGCTCTGTACTGTACTTCTAGAAAGATGCAAGGTTGGAGACACATCTGTCTGTACTCCTCACCATTTACCATGACTGAAAAGAAGGCTTAGGGTGTGCCCTTCAGAAACAGATCAGGCAAACCATAGCTCCCAACTCATCAGGAGAAAATGAATACCACAGGTTAACATAAATAAATAATTAACATAAGTAGAAAAAATTACTTTTCTCTCCGGACCACACAGCAGTGCCTGAAAAACTTGAACTATGCCAAATCTCTAACAGGCAGAGGGGAGGAGTTAAGCCAAGGAACTAATTTATAAAATGAAGTTCAGTCTCATTCCTATTCAGCCTCTCTCCTTAGAACTATAACTCAACTACTCCTAAGTATTTATGGTTTGTCTCTGAGGTATGAAACAGCTTGACAAATTCCATGCCCCTCTTTTAGGAGTAACTCAATGGACAAATAATAAATAGGTGTCGGAGCTAAAGAAATCGCTTTCTGGCAATCTATATGCAGAGAACTTCTCAATTTATACTTGAGAAATCAAACACAGTGAGACCAGATGTCCTGCAGCCATCTCCTTTGCCTGGGCTATATACACAAGAGAACTGTGAGCACAAGGACCACTCACAGGGAACCAGGAGGTCACACCAAACTTTCACTTTCCATAAAGCTTTCCAATTTCTAAAGAATGTTTCAAAATGAAAAGGCAGAACCTACAAAGCTCTGAAATCCTGAAGCACGCATTTTTCTCAGTTAGTTTCAATCCTGGCCTACAGTATTTTCTGTCACAGTAAGTGCTGTTATACCAGGGCCTCAGGCTTCCACTGTCCAAAGATGACACTAGACAATAACAAAGCCACCACACAGCTGCCTCTTCATATCACTGGGTACTAGGAACCTGAATAAAACCACCTTTTACCACCATTTTGATAAGGTTCCTCAATATTGGGGTGGGGACCTAATTTTACCAGATATTCAATAACGCTTAAGTTTTATATTCCATCTTATCTGATTAGCCTCTGTAACACAAACTGGCCCTACCACGTAACACCAGTTTAAGAGAGGACAGTGGTTCTCAGCCAGGGGCACTTTTATCTCCCCTCTCCCAGGAGATATTTGACAATCTCTGGAGATGTTTTTGATTGTCACCACTGGGTAGAGGCCAAGAATGCTGCTAAACATCCTACAATGCAAAACACAGTAAACCAAAATGTCAAGTTCTAGCTGAGAAACTGGTTTAAACCAAGCACCGTCACCTACATGGCCTTACCAAATAAGAATTTAAATCTAAAAAGTAAGTCAAATCTAGAAAATTCTCTAATAGCCCCTTCCTACAGCTAAAAAAATGTGAGCAGTTGAAGTAGTATTCACAAAAGAGGAACTTAAGACACTATGTGCAAGTTATTGATCCAGAAAGAAGGCGTGGGCAGCTTTAAAGTCATGCTTCCTGTTTAAAAAGAAACAAACAAAAAAACCCATTAAGTTTAGCAGAAAACTTAAGTCCATAAAAATAGGAAAACTTGGACTTGCCATATTGGTAAAAGTTCAGGGCTGTTACTACAATGACACAAACTGCAGGACACTCCTTCAATCCTAGCTGGTGGAGGCAGCTTTCATACCAAAAAAAAAACACCTCTTATTTGTAAACCCAGAGTAGGAGAACTAAGTTTATAAACATTAATGACTGGGTCTGAAAAGAACAGACATCATCTACCCAGAGCCCATGTAATCAACTTATTAAAATTAAAAGCCAAGCTGCAACTGTCAAGGAGCAGCCCCAGTTAAAAATACCACTAGGCTTGGAAGGGATTATCACCTAGTCCTTACAAATGCTGAAAAATACAAGAACAGGCTTCAGTATCCTTGCACAGCTTTTTCCTTTTTATGAAAAAGCTCAACTTCAGTGAGTTCACAATCACAAAGAAAGGTCAGAAGAGGCAGTCAGGGTTTCAATACCCACAACACAATTTGTCACAGGTTTGCTAAATTACCAGGGAACCTAAACGGTGCAAGACGACTGGAGGCAAGGGTAATTTTTATGTAGGACAGAGTAGAACCGCCCCACAGGATTTACAAGCAGCGGCTAGGTGGATTCAAACTGCCGGCTATAGCTCTTAACCACTCGAAAAAAGTTCAACACAACCTCTAATTTCCTCCTACCCTGTCAAAATCCCCCGGCATCTGAGAACGCCCACCAATCAGTATTAGGGGGAGGGGGAATATTTTCTTAGGTATCATAATACCTAATGGTATTAGTGTAGACAAGACATAAAGCTAACTTTAGTCTTCAAGGGGCTGGGCTTGGTAAAACTCCTTTTTCTTTAAATTTAAAGATCAAAATGCAATCTGCCCCATGGTAAAGAAAGTTAAAAGCCAAATTAACCATATAATTCTTCTCTGGAATTGCTTTTTTGAGGAGACAAATCCCAACACCTTCACCTAAATGTTACAAAATGGAAGTGTCAGGGTACCAGACACAGCCCAATATGCCTGGCTCCAGTTTTGCTGAACTAGCCCCCACCCCGGCCCTACCCCAAAAGTACTGTGCTAGCCGTCAAATTCCTAAAGAATCACTTATGTTACCTATTTCATGTGGGTCTTAACCCCTGGCTGTGGGGATTGGGTGAAACCATGAACCATCCTCCTGGAAATTCTAAACCAAAGCAAGTCAGAAAATTTAAACAAATATTTTTAAGTAAAAACGTCAACTATTTCAGTGACTACAAAACTGTACCACAGCTATAGAATAGTTTGCCCAAGATTTGACCTGTTACTATTTCACACTTGTTGTGAACTCCCTTTTGGAGAGTTGTAAAATCACTTAGACTTGATTAACCAAGTGCTGTAAAATGTAGTGCACAGGACTAGTAGCACAGAGCAAAATGAAATCATGTGTTAGGATCATATTTTAGTTTTATTATTTCCTTCTGCAAAAAAAATTTAAGGGAAATAATTCCATATAATCCTCTTCACTACGGATATGGACAAAGTTTCTATAGTCACTTCAACCAGGAGACAGGAAATAGCCTTCATAACCCTCCTCAGATTTTGCTGGGGCAATCAGAATGGCGGGGAGTCATTTTAAAAACTAAGATGGTCATCAGTTGCAATTACTAAGAAGGCAGTTTGAGGCAATCAAGTCCTTTTAAACAGCTTTCTAAAAACTGATTCTGGATCAAGAAAGCTAGAAGGTACCAGGAAAGAAAACTGCAATCAAAATTCCTATGCAGCATCTACATTTTAGGGAGAAAACTACTTTTAGAATGTCCTAGAAGGAATCGTAGTACCAGGTTCCCACTTTTGATTAAAAAAAAAAGAACAAATTTCAACGTTCAAAGAAATAAAATATCCCAACAAAGACACGACCACCCACCCGTTGGCAATGCAAAGGTGCACCTCAATACAACGATATCCTTATTTGTGTAGTCAGATGAAAGTTTCACCAAAGGTGCTCTTAGCTTCTAAAAAGACGTAACTTTTCAAAACGCCTTCCAGGTTACGTAAATTTGAGAGCGCCTTTCATTTTTTCCATTTTTCTGGCAGAAAACTTTTATGTTGACTATTCTGCACACAACGTTGTCGTTCTTATCTCTGCGTATTGCGAAAAGTAACTCAGGGGACCAAAAAAGGAGCGGAGGATTATCTATAAATCTTTAATTGGACCTGATAGTCTGAGATTATTGTCTTTTAGACCTCAAAATTTACACGGCATGGGGTAATTTATATAAACACAAAATATTTAAAAAGTTCGACAAGTATTTGAGCACCGACTAAAAATTTCAGAACTCCCACTGTACCGCATTTAGCGTTTATGAAGTCGAAACGAGTATGCTTCAAATTTGACTTGATATAATTTCCCTCGTGCTGGGGATAAAAGAGTTTCCCAAAGGGGGCCAGCGTGGAAGCAAAACCACACCCTGGTATTTAAGTATTAAGAGGCTTTCACTTTGTCACGTTCACCGTAAAGTCGCCACGAAGCCATGTGAAGATTTAAAAACGTTTAATATAAATATGTCCCCAGGTCTCCAGAGACCAGCCCCAGAGACTCGTCGGGCTCCCGCCCGCTCGGCATCTGGCACAGAGCACCGAGGCGGCTACGATTGAGTAAGACCCCGCGTCTCCGGTTCCCTCCTCCGCGGGGAGACTCAAAAACAAGAGGCGCCAGGGAGCCCCGCGGGGGTATGCGAATGATGGGAGTCGAGAAAAAAAATGTGGGAATCAGATGGGGGGAATCGCGGAGCAGGAGGTCCACGGGGACAGCCTTCTGTAGCTTGAGGGCAAGTAGGGTCTCACCTTGCTGCGGTCCTCCTCCTCCTGCTGCAGCAACCCGGGAACCGCGGCCATGGCGACGCGGGTCTCGAGCAGAGGCTGCCTGGCTGTGCGAGGAAAGAAGAGGATGGGCCACCACCGCCTGGTCGCCTCTCAGGGGCGGCCGCGGCCCCGCCTCCGCTGGCCTCCCTGCCCCACGGCAGCGGGAGGCCTCGGGACTCCGCCACCATCCCAGCAGCCCCGGGAGCAGGCGAACAGCGCGCCACGTGCTTCCCCAGAGCGGCCTCCCCCGTCCCCGCTGTCGTCCATCTTGCAGCCGGGCATAAAAACGCGGGGCCTACCCTCGCTCCACACGGCGCAGAAACTGCTAACCGCTGGACAACGCCAGGTACACGGAGACACAAGTACTCTCCTAGCAAGGCAGGTCGCACGAAAGACCGAGCGTCTAGTGCGGGGGGCATTTATCGCTTAGCCCGAGTCCAAGATGGCGACGAGCGGTGACGTACAGAAAATCTCGTGAGAGCAAAATGGCGCAATTTGGAGGCTCCCGCGCGTTCGCCTCAGAGGAACGGCTCCTCACCGATCGCGTGAGTGTCTAAGAAGATGAAATGAGGCCTCGGGGCGGTGCGGGAGCGCCGCAGTGCATGCTGGGGCCGCCGCGCCTCGGGCGGGGCCTAATTCAAGACGAAAGCGCGGGACCGACAAAAGTACGGGTCCCGAGAGGATGTTCGGGTCTGGGTAGTTAAGCGAAGCGTCGCTTACCTCCTGCTTGGTTGCAGCGTCGTGACTTCTAAGGTACCGACACCTGCCGCGGGCCAGGCTTCTACTTAAGTCGTTCATTACTAACCCCAGCTTCCCTCCATGTGGCCACAGTCCTCCTGCCCCGCTGTGGTCCACACCTCCGGCGGAGCTGGACACCGCCTTCTGGGAATCAGGATTGTGGGCCCTGCCCGTCGCCGCTTACCAGCTATAAAAGCGTCATAATAGTACCAAGCTTAGAAGCTTTGGGGATTAAATGAGAAAAATCCATTCAGAATACTTAGCAAAGTACCGGGTATTTAGGGATCCATCGTTAACTGTTAACTATTACCTTTGTAGCTGCTATAGCACGGGCTCGACCGTTCCGTTTTTCTCGGTCTCACACGCCTCCGTTACTGGGTGTCACAAGTTTCTTCAGGTTCAAAATTGAGGACGTCTTGCCCCAAGCTGTCCACTAATTCGCATTTTGTAAGTGCTGGTCCTTCTGGTATTCATGCGAGTCTTGGGAAATGGCCTTGTCCAAATTTCGAAAAAGTTTATTGAATACAATTTTAATATCCAATATTCTGATGCAGCTTTCACTTGATGGTTAACTACTTAACATGTCTGGTACCTAACACTGCTTTTCTCTTTAATAGGATTGCAAGGGGAAGAAAGCCCTCGACATTGCAAATAGACTAAAGAGAAGTGAAAATTTTAAAAAATCTGAAGATGAAGGTTTTTCAGACCATTTGCAGGCAGCTCAGAAGTTCAAAGGGGTTTTCTGTAGAAGCAACCCCGTATGTGGGTTTCTCCACTTCTTATTCGTGTGGCCGGAAGAAAAAAGTGAGCATTTATGAAGAAGTGGATCAAGACAAATACTCTGATTTAGTACGGTCTGTCTTGTCGTTAAGAAGCCATGCTCGGACCCCAGAATCACTGTTTGACGAAGATGCGTTACTGTACGGACCTGTGAGTAAATGTAAGCCCCCAAAGCAGGATGACCAAACAAAGACTCCACGAAACTGGTTTCCTCTCTTAAATCCAGAGAAAAGAGTAACATCGAATACAGCAAGTGACCCTTCAATTCCTTTGAAAATCCCTTTGCAAAGAAGTGTGATACCAAGTGTGACCCGGGTCCTACAGCAGACCATGACATCAGAACAGATCTTCTATTTGGAGAGGTGGAAGCAGCGGATGATTCTAGAACTGGGAGAAGATGGCTTTGCAGAATATACTTCAAGTAATGCTCTCATCCCTGGTTCTGTGTGCTTACTGTGTTTTCTAGGATATAGAGTACCACTGTCCTAAAAATGAATTGGATTTTTTTTTAACAATACTAGTGAGGAACTACTTTCATAATTAGCATTAAATAGCACTTGATGTGTATTAACTCACCTCATTCTGGTAACAACCCTGTGAAGCAGAGATGATATCCCCTTTTACAGATGAAAGTGAAACACAAAGAGATCAACTAATTTGACTAAATTATGCATAAAATTCATTCTTAAGCTACAAACTTGAAGTATTAGAATTGCTTATTTCCCTTGATTATGAAAAAAAGTCACCTGGTAACAGAATTCTAATTGTTTGCTAGGCATTCTGTTCAAAATCTAGTAAATACCCCCTTGCTCCACTGATCAATGTAGACTGGTGAATTTAAAGACCCTGGCAACAAGCCAGACCCAGGAACTGTATTTATGGCTTAGTAAATTGAGGTGTGTTTGATTAGGAATTGAGACTAAATGAATTTTAGCCTTCAACTGCTGACTTTCTTATTAGGCTTAGACTAGTGAAGAGAATCACTTCCTTAAAACAGGTTCTGTTGAAAAACGAAAAGATCATCAGCACAGGTGAATTAGTTGGTGCTCTAAAAGTTAATATACGTTGTTAAAGCTAGGTTTTCCATTGACCATTCCTTACCACTATGCTTTCCAGTGAGTAGTGCCTGTACCCTTGTGGTACACAGTCACTTTGTTTTAAAAGTATTGTGCTTATTTTCAGGTGTCTTAGAAAAAAATATATGTGTGTGTTAACACATTAAACCTGTGGACATATGTGTTTTAAAGAGAAATACTAAGTTTATATAAGTGGCGTGTGGAATTGGCCAAAAACAGTCAAGACCTTAGCCCATTATAACATTCCCCAGATGTGAGGGGCAAGGAAAACATACAGGGGCTGACTGCTTTCTTAAGATAATTAGTAACAACCATCAACATAAACAAGCTACATAAAAGTCTTTTAATGACATGTTAAGTTTTTTTATTTGCACCGTTAGAATTTAGAATTGATACTGTTTCTTCATGAGAAGTTGTTTGATTTTCCTTAAACCAGGAATGTCACAGCTTGTGGGAATCCTAAAATCAGTATAAAAAGAGTAAAGGCAGAGAACTTCAGGGACAGGTGAAGACCCGGGGTCTGTAGCTGTTGGCACTAAGTAAGGAAGTACCCTGGTGGCGCTCTTGGTATACAGATTAGTGCTGTGGCCAAAAGAAAAAAAAAGCATAACCCAGTAAATCAATAATGAGTCAGTCTGAAAAATACTCGATTGATAAATTCCTTTCTGCCAGATTTTGCCCAAGGCCAGAGCATAGAGATGTGCCCACAGCTGGCTTTCTCCCTAATGCTGGAGCAGTTTCCCAAACATCAGTTTACCTTTTGAAGACTGGCGAGGATGAGAAAGTCTGACTTACTCTCATTTACATTGTTGATCTTAGTGGAAAGGACTAGGGCTTGTTTTTTCAGTTTTTGCTACACTGATTTTGTAACCTAAAATAGCAATCCTGCCAGTTCTATCAGCTCACGAATTTTTTAAAATACATTTATATGCTGAGGCTTGAAAATATTTTACTTTCATTCCTTTAATTTATTGGTAAATAATCTTGACTTGATGCTACCTGCAATAAATGGATTGAATCGTTTTTTTAAAGTTGAATCATGTTTAATATTCTAAGCCTTAGAATCTGAGGGATCATGTAATCTAGGTTTCCTATGTTTGTGGTCCCTTATATGTGAAGAAGCTAGCCAAGGGTTAAGTCTGCATCAGGGATGAGTTGTCTGTTTGCATGGCAATTGATAGAGCAATCTTTTTTTTCTTTCTGCTTTTAACAGGTTTATCTTCTGCTTTATTAAGCCAGTCTAGATGAATACTACACTCTTCTTCCCTAGGTTTTAGTTCCATTGGTCTTAAATTTCTTATAGGCCTTTGATGGGCTAGTGAGTCCAATTGAGCCAGTAAATTTAGGGTAGAATAACTTAGTTTTTCCTAAGTTGAATTTCATTAACTCTCCAAGTAAATTACTAGAAGCAATTCCATTTTTTGCCAGGAGAACTGACCTTAAAAGCCTTTATGAAGTGTACTTGAAAAATGTACTGTGGTTTGATAGACTTCATTAAATGAGATTATTTTCCCCAGTTGCTGTAGGTCTGTCTCCAAGCATGTGTATTTCCTGCTCTGTTCCTGTGTGTATCTAATGGTGTTTTTGGTGTCTGAGTTTGCCTTCCGTGCTCTTTGCTGTGTGGTGGGCTGGAAAGAACACAGGCTCTTGTGCCAGGCTGCCGTTCCAGTTTTTTGCTTTTGGGCAAAATAACAGCACTGCCTAGGCTTGGAGAGCCTCATGCCTTAAAATGGAGCTTATAATACTTGCCTTGTTGTGTTTGGGAACTCAGTAAAATGTTTTGAAAGCACGAAAGCCACAGTGTAGCACAACAGTGCCCGTCTGTCTTTTTTCCCTCCTTCCTTTACGAGGAACCAAGTGAATATATAGTACTTCTTGCTTTTGTTGAATATGTTTGTGTTCCCTTAAAAGTGCATGAGAAAAAAAAAATTCAGGACAGTGCAACTGTCTTAGGTTGCTAAAAAAAAAAAAGGTGCAGGTAAAGAATGTCACATATAGCCTCCCTTAGCTCCCCCCCACCCCTGCATAATCCCACAATGTCCAATTGATAGTTTTTAATTGGTATGTGCCTTAAATTTTCATTCCTTGCTAGTCATTAATCCCAGTAGTAAAAGATTTCTACCAGCTACATTCGTAATTTAAGTTTTGGTTAGAAACAGAAGCACAGTCCTTTACATTTCTAAATTAAATTTGACAACCTGTTAACTATTGTAAATTGAGCACTTAAATACATAGTAGCATAAACTAGGTGTGGTCCTGTAGTCCTCAAACTTAAATTCTACTAGCTTTGGCCTAATTCTACTAGAAATACTTCATTTTAATCCGTTTTATTGTCTAAACTGTCCTAATCCCTTTGATTTTCAAAACGCGTTCTTAGCTTTCATTGGAGCTGAAATTTGGTGCCTTAGGGGTTATTGCTTAAAGGTAACTCTTGTATAACTTTTTATCTTATTTTTAATTTTATTAGAGTATTTGTTTTTAGTGCTAGCTTTGTTTTTGGTTTTTTTTATTTCCTTTGCCCTGATTTTCTTTTCAGACACATTTTTACAAGGGAAACGGTTCCATGAAGCCTTGGAAAGCATACTTTCACCCCAAGGGAGTTCAAAAGAAAGACATAGAAATCTGGAATCTGGGTACATTGAAAGCATCCAGCATGTTCTGAAAGATGTCACTGAAGTGCGAGCTCTGGAAAGCGCTGTTAAACATGAAGGGCTAAAGTACGTGGGTCTGCTGGACTGCGTGGCCAAGTATCAGTAAGTGTTAGCTTGTTTTCTTCGTGGTGTGGGATTGATTTAATGCAGGCTGGGACAGATGGTGCCCATCAAACATTACCTTTTTCTCCTGCTTCAAGATGTGCCTGTAGATACTTTGACCTCTGCCTCTTTCACCCAAAAGCCATGTGATAGGTGAAAGAATTAGGTGTGGAGTGGGAAGGTGAGGGGGGATACAGGGAGAAGAGATTCATAATCTTTGTAAATCATGACGTTTAAAGATCAAATTGTGAGCCCTCAATAAAGATTTTCTGTCAGTTTAAAAAAAAATCAAGTTGCTTGGTGGAGAAAGGCATAACTTTTTATTATCCCTAGGATGGCCTGTTTTCCAGCTTGTCCCTCCTGTTCCCCGCCCCTCAAGCAAGGTCCCAGACATAAGATCGAATTTGATGCCTGCATTTTCTTTCCTGTTTTCCTCAAGATAGTGCCACAGTCTGTTGGCCCTGAAAACTAGCTCTTTTCCTGGCTTCCAGTCAGTAGTTGCAATGGGTAAGAACTCAGAATTTACTAAAGCTTCCTGTGGTTTTTAAACTGCTCTGGTGTTAACTGATTTTCCCACTTAATCCAGATTCTAAGGGTAGCTGTGACCTGCAGGTACCCCTATTCCAAATAAAGCACAAGAGTAATACAACAGGATGGGGAGAAAATCTGTAAGTGTAACCTTTGGAGATCTAGTTAACATTTCAATTAAAAAAATTATGAGAGAATATTGATTAGTCTGGAAACAGTGTTTAGGCCACCTAATGGTTTTGTGCTGTTGCTGCCTCATATCTGAAAAGAGCCCTGTGTGCCTAGAAATTTGCTGGGCTATTTGTGGCTGCCCTTTAGATTAAGCAAGGGAGCCAGGCAGTCACTGCCACCCAAGGCCTACACAAAGCTCCTGACACCAAGGGATTTTCATAGAGTTGTAGAATATAAAACATGTCTATGGCACTGCTGTTTGTTTGTTATTGGTTGATTGATTGACTGTGTTTTGCTCTTTCAGTCAAGGCATCAGCAATGAACGTTGAACATTTTTTTAATCTAATTTTTAGAAATTCAAGAATTTTTAATGGGTAACATATACCTGGCTAATGCAAACAGTGTTAAAAGTGAGTCTCCCCACCCCCACTTTGTTTTTAACCTCTGTTAAAATGTTCTTGTGTTTTCTTCCAGGGATATTTAATGATGATATGTGCAATCATATGTCCCCACCCCCACGTTTTTTGTTTTTAATATGCTGTATTTTGCATAGCAGTTTTAGGGGTACAGAAAAGACAGTTCCCATATCCCCTTCCTTCCCTCTGCGCACAGTTTCTCCCGTTGTTAACATCCTGCCTTCTTGTGGTAATGTGTTTTGATGAAACAATATTGATACATTGTTATTAACTAATGTGCATAGTTTACATTAGGGGTTAGGTTACATCTTTGTATTGTACAGTCCTATGGGTTTTGCAAATGCAGTATCTCATGTATCCACCATTGTGGTATCATACAGAATAGTTTCACTGGCCCCCAAATGCCCTCTGCTTCACCTGTTCATCCTCCCCCCCCCCACATCATGATTTTGCTTTTTAGTAAACTGATACTCCTTTCTTTCACTGGCCTTGACCGGTGCTTTGTTCTGGGAATGATCTTGTCAGATTCTCCTATAAAAGTTTGAGTTGATTGATTAATTCAACAGATATTTTTGAGTACCTGCATGTACCAACACTGTTTTGAGGACTGAGGGATCCAGTAGTAAACAGAACAGAAAAATCATTACCTTCACTGAGTTTTCATGCTAGTGGTGTCGGCGAATTCTGATGCACTGTGACCCCATGTGTTTCAGAGTAGAACTGTGCTCTGTAGGGTTTTCAGTGGCTGATTTCTTGGAAGTACATTGCCAGGCCTTTTGAGGCCTTTGGGTAGGTTCAAACCTCCAACCTTTGCACTAGCAGCCAAGCATGTTAGCCGTTTGTACCACCTAGTGATATATTATGTCAGATAGTGATAGTTTTAGAGAAAACTAAAGCACAGTGAGGGAATGGGGAGCCTTAGAGGAGGGCATTGTGATGTTCAGTAGAGTGGCAGGGAAGGCCTCACCCAGGAGGAGATGTTTGATAAAGCCCTGGAGGAGGTTACGGAACACCAGCCTTCCCACCCCCACTTTTTAACACAAGGTGCTTTGTTTCACTTTAAAAAAATGTATTTTTAAGACTTTTCCTTATTATTCATATACATTTGCAACTTTCTTTTCTTTTTAAATAATTTTCCATCACCTATAATTAAAGGCTATTAAATTCTTTGTCACATTTGCTTCCAATTTTTTCTTTCTTTTTTTTGAAAAGTATAATGTTACCAATTAGCTCACATCCCCTTTAACTACCTCCTATCTCAGTAACTCTGATGAATGTGATAGTATTCCCTTCCAGCTAATTTAACATACCCACACAACAAATGTACACTATACACACAGTACACTTCCAGCCCTCTCCTGCTGTTTACCTTAACATGCACACACACAGTACTGTGTGTAATACATACACACATGTAACACACTTCCAGTCTGCTTTCTACACTCAGACACATGCACACACACGATGCACACACACAACCCTATGTATTGTTACACAGTGATCTGTGAGAGGCACAATATATAGGAATCTCCAGGTATACGTATCACAAAGGTGGTAAGGTACTGGGTTCTGGAACCAGGCTGCCTGGGTTTGGATTCTGGCTTTTCATCATAATCTTAGGTTACTTAGCCTCTTTGTACCTCAGTTTGTTCATATATAAAATAAGGCTAATAATAGTACCTATTTCATAGGGTTATTATAGTGACTAAACCTTTCTCTTTTTTATTCCATGCACAGTGCTTAAAATGCATACATTGTACTCAATAAATGTTAGCATGTTAACATTATCATTTTGATCCATTTCTCTCTTTTTAACTGCTGTTTGTTATTCCTTTGTATGGATGAACCATCGCCATTCTAGTTATTTCTAGTTTTTCACAATTACAAGCAGTGCTGCAGTGAGCATGTCTCCTTGTATACTGCTGTGAGAGTTTCTCTAGATAGATGCACAGGGTTCATTTGTGTGTTGCTGTTCAGTTGTTTTGGGTGGGTGATATATACACTCGGGATAGATTCACTTGGTCTTGGAGCGGGCCTGGGCATGAGTGCTTAAGTCTCCCAGGCAATTATCACTTGCATCCAGGATATCAAACCATTGCTGTCGGGTATGTACCTAGAAGGGAAACTTCTGGATCAAACGGTGTGTGTATTTTAAATGATGATAGAGATGAGTGTGCTTATTTACACACACCTTTAACAACACACTGCTAGCAATTTTGTTAACATTGTATCTTGTAATTGTAATCTGCATTTCACATAATGAGTCTGAGTATCTTTTAATTTCTACAAGAGCTGTTTGTGAATTGTCTTATTGTGGTTTTAATTTGGACTTATACTATTGAGATTTTTTTCCCTATTACAAAATTCTGCAATTCCTATTACCTTGCTATAAACAGTGGTCCATGGAAGAAATCTTTAGGGTATCTCGATTTAGTCAAGGGAGAGAACCGAGAACGGCAGCCTCCTGGAGTTGAGGCCTTCTCTTCATTTGCATAGATTGTGAGACTTAGCAGTATTACAGAGACAGTGATAATATTACAAATATTATAAAGACAATAGGGTTACCTCTAGACCTGCCCTGTCCAGTAGAGTAGCCACTAGCCACATATGGCTACTGAGTACTTGATAGTGACCAGTACTAACTGAGAGGTGCTGTAATATAAAATGCAAAGTAGATTTCAGTGACTTAGTATAATGTATGTAAAATATCCCATTAATAACTTAGATATTAATAGAAACTGTTGAATTGGTGTTTGTCTTACTGTGTATATTCTCAATAATAACAACAAAAATAAATTATTTAAGAAATAACATGTAGAAAAGACACTATTTTAGATAGGTTAAATAAAATATTAACATTTTACCTGTTTCTTTTTTCTTTTTCTTCTTTTCGATGTGGCTACTAGGAAATTTAAGATGGCATATGTGGCTCACATCTTATTTCTTTGAGACAGTGCTGCTCTAGACTGATCTTATAAGTACCTTGTATAAGCCTCTCTGTAGTTATGGTGATAGATAAGTAACATATCCATGCTTCATACAAAACCTCCCTATAAACTGAAGTCATGAGAGACAGATTAATAGAGCCTTTGGAGAAGCACCAGTTAATAGTCCACTCGCCTGCAATCCTTTTGATCCCTACAGTTAACTAATATAAAATGCAACCAGGATGGGGCCAGTGGAGAGGAATATACTGGTTATTTGACCAAAAAAGGAAACAAAAAAAAGGTAGGAATTTTTAAATTTTCCCAATATCTTTAATAGTAAGACACCCTATCCTGTGTGTAAACTTTTAGGACAGGGCCCAGGTCTCCTTTTTCATATTTGTGCACGTAAAAAAAAAAACAAACCCGTTGCCGTTGAGTCAATTCCGACTCATAGAGGCCCTAGAGGACAGAGTAGAACTGCCCCAAAGGATTTCCAAGGAGCGACTGGTGGACTCAAACTGCCAGCCTTTTTGGTTAGCAGCTGTAATACTTAACCACTACACCACCGTGGTTCCCATGCTTGGTGCATATTAAATGTTGTTGGATTTTAACCCCAGTTTTGGTCTGAGTAAGACCATTCTAAGGCACCATGGTGCTTAGTCCTTCATAATAGGGACTTTGCTACTGGCCTGTTGTATTTTCATTCTGATGAGTATTTGAAGCCCAATCAACTAAGACAACAATAGATGCAATTTCAATTTCCCTGTCAGCTCTTAAAAGAAGGGAGACTGTGGCAGTCCAAAGGAATTGTGAGAAGGTTTAGAGACTGGAGGAAGGTTTCCCAGCACCCCCTGTGGGCCGCATCTATGGCTCTCGCTGCACTTCAGGAAGTAGTTTATATCCTACCTCTTGACAGGCTCATCACCGGCCTGAATCGGGTTCAGAGGAGAGAGAGCATCTCACTGTCCTAATCCTAAGAAGTAAAGCCCAGGGGAGCCATCTTTTAGGGAAGTGAAGAACAAGAAGCAACGGTTTGCATTGGGTAATCAGTAGTAAACTGGGTAAGAAGAACGTTAACCTAAACAGAGTTTTTCAGTTTGAACTGTTATTTACAGACTTCCTTTGGTTTCTCTTTAGGGGCAAGCTGTGTGTGATTGATTGGAAGACATCAGAGAAACCAAAGCCTTTTATCCAAAATACATTTGACAACCCGCTGCAAGTTGTAGCGTACGTTGGTGCAGTAAATCATGACGCCAGCTATAACTTTCAGGTTGGGACACTGAGCCTCTTCCTACTCAAAAGCCATGCTCAATGCTTCTTTATAGCTGCTGAACTCCTTTTGGCTTTCACTCTGCTTGCATCCCACTGCCTAATCCACTTCTTGACCTCCTACTTTAAAAAGTACTTTTTCCTCCTCTTCCTGGGCTCTTTTTTTAAATCTTTAATGATTACATTCCATTCTTCAGTGTCTTATCTGTCATCTTTGTGTTTTTATATATCCTGGTGCTAGTCTTTCATCAACCCATCTTAGAATTGAATTAGGAGATGTTATTACTGTAGATTGCTTTGTTCTGACTGGGTTTGCCCTGGAATAAGAAGAAAATGAGCATGAACTCTGGACCTAATATAGAAACATTGAAAGTGCCCTGTGTTTCTTTTTAGGTTCAATATGGCTTAATTGTGGTGGCCTACAAAAATGGGTCCCCTGCCCACCCACACTTCATGGACACAGAGCTCTGTTCCCAGTACTGGTCCAAGTGGCTTCTTCGATTGGAAGAATATACAGAGAAGGAAAAGAACCAGAAGCTTCAGAAACCAGATTAGGGGAAAGGATGCTGTTTGGGGACATTCAGTACTTTCTCAAGTTTGGAAGTTATATTGCTGTTGACTGTGATTTAAAAATGGAGATGCTCAGAAGAGCTACATTAACCCAAGCAGAAGTATTCATTTGTTGAAATGTCTTGTAACCAAAATTATGGAAAAGCCTTAAAAGTTTAGATTCAAAGAGCTGGACTCTAGCACATCAAATGCCAACTATGCTACTGCCAGCTATTTACCTGAAAGAGGGTGAGCAGGGTTGGCACAGCCTTGGTGACTCTTGGGCTCCTCTGTAGACTGGCTGTGTCCCAGACAGGATGCCCAGTCTCTGAATTGGATTGAAAGGCAGTGAGGCTTGGTGTGCCAAGCACACAGGAGGTCCCTGCTTCTCCATTTTCCCCAGGGATACACTGTGGTGGAGGGGGGAGGACAGGTACCCCCAGAATATGCGAGGAGGAAAGAACAGCCATCAGCCAGTTCCATGCCAACGCAGTTTCCTTGGAATTTGTTTTATATATTGGGGTTCTGTGTGTTTCATTTGGGGAGAAAGGTTTCCATTTAAAATTTTTGAAAAGTAAGTATGTGATTACTTAGCATCGAGTAAACATTACTGTCTGGGAAGATAGATGATGTTCACAATGTTGTTGGCAATATCCCTCAATACCACCTTTTAGTAACTATGCTGGTTTGATTCAATGGATCATGTACATAGGGAAAAACCATTGTTTGGACTTTTTTCAGTTGTGGGGGAAGAATAATAGTTTGATAGGTAATAAAAATTATTAGTTGTTTTTGGGTTTGAGAAACTGATATAAATGCCTACTGTGTCCCTGGGGGAGCCCTGGTAGCGCAGTGGTTAAGAACTCATCTGCTAACCAGAAGGTCAGCAGTTCAAATCCACCAGCTGCTCCTTGGGAACCCTGTGAGGCAGTCCTACTCTGTCCTATAGGGTCGCTATGAGTCAGAACTGACGCAACGGCAATGAGTTTGGGTTTTTTTTTTTAATATAGTCCTGGGGGAGGGCTCCCTGTTTTATAGACTGGATTTGTTAGCATTTAAGTTACAATTGCTGTTCTTAAGATAGACTGCTAAATCACTTTTTTTCTTTCATTAGTCATTATAAGAAATAAAAGATACGAATAAAGTGATGAGGCTTTGGTTTTGTTTCTTTTCATTTAAATTTATGTGTTTATAGAAGAGTTTCATAAAGTTAGGAATTATACTTTGTTTTCACATTTAAAATTTTACCACTGGCCTAGTGGCCTTGGTCTGTGTTGTATGTGAATGCATAAAAGAGGAGGTGTCCTCACTAAGCTGTCAACCATGGTCACCTGGCAAGGAAAGTAAGATTCAGGTAGGAGAGGAGGATTAAGGGAGAACTTTGTATTGACTCTGCACTTCTGTATTCCTGTTTTTTTCAAGCACCATAAGCTCCTGTAGCCTATAATTTCCAAAATCAAGGGAGACAATTAACAGTTGTACCAGTAGATTGTGCCACACTGCTGTAAGAAGCCTTCTCCTAGGACATGGGCGACTGTTGTTCTTAGCTGCCATGAAGTCGATCCATTACTCATGAGGACCCCATGCACAGTGGGATCAGATGGCCTTTCTTCCTAGTCTTTCTTAGTCTGGTAACTTTGCCGAAACCCATTCAGCATGATAGCAACACAGAAGCCTCCACTTGGGTGGTGGCTGTACATGAAGTGCCTTGGTTGGGACTCAAACCCAGGTCTCCCACAAAAAAGGTGAGAATTCTACCACTAAATTACTAATGCCTTCCCTTGCGAGACTAAGCCCGTTGCTGTCAAGTCGATTCCGACTCATAGTGACCCCATGTGTCCAGAGTAGAACTGCAGTCCCTAGGATTTTCAAGGCTGTGATTTTTCAGAAGCAGATCGCCAGGCCTTAGTAGTCAAGCTCTTAACCACAGTGCCACCCAGGGACACCACCTTGACAGACTAGACCCAGCAAAACTTCATTTTAATACACTTGTTCTGTGGGGTGAATACAAATTCACCTTGAACCTGTCTTCCTCCTGTAACGAGTCTTCCAAGTCAATGGTGGCATGAGGAGTTGCGTAAGATAGAGACCTTCAGAGTCTGACCAGGAAGACTGGTTGGTATGAGAACAACTAGAAGAATCCCTGGTGGGTTTCTCTCTGCCACACAGGGGTACACTAACTTCTCACTACAATCCTGAGGCTCCTCAGACCTCGCCAGTTAAAGAAGCCTCAATCCCCTGAGAGGGAAATACCAATGAAAAAAGTTATTGCTGCTAAGGCATGGAGAAGAAAGCCAAATTTGAGATTCTAAATGAGTCACAATTTTTCAGAAATTGTTGTGTAGGTTACTAATATTTGGATACCACTTCTTCCCCTAAGTGAGATATGGCATATTAAACTCCAGTGAAATGGAGGATTTGCAGTAATGAGACAGTCTATGTGAGCATAAAAAAAAAAGTATAAATTGGTCTTTGAAAACACCTCACAGAGGTATAGAATGTAGCTCTACAGTCTTTAGTATTGGGACAATCCATTAGATTCAAAACTCTGCACTTCTATCTTCTGCAATTCTACCCATTCTTATTAATGGATTTAGCTACTGACAAACGCTCTTTGCTGGCACTGAAAAGTAATTTTCAAATTTTTTCCAAAACTCATGGCTTACCCCCTGCTCCAGATCTGGCCTCTTCCTCAGAGCCATTGTTGTGTGCAATCAAGTCAATTCCAACTCTTAGCTACCCTAAGGGACAAAGTAGACTTGCCCCATAGGGTTTCCCGGGCTGAAATCTTTATGGGAGAAGATAGCCAGGTCATTTCTCCCACTGAACTGCTGATGGGTTTGAACTGTTGACCTTCTGGTTAGCAGCTGAGTGTTTAACCATTGCACCACCAGGGCTACTTTCAGAGCCATTAGCCCCTGATAATGTGAACATTAACTTCAATAAACCTATTGTAGTTCTAGGAAAAATTGTCAACATATGACTTATGGTTTCATATGTGTTAACACTGGTAAATATAGAAAGAGGGTTAGTCATAAATCAGTGTGTTTCTAGGAAACCAATTTGCCTACTGGCTTTAAAGGAGTTGTTAGGTATTAGCTGTTAGGTTGTTAGGACTCACAGAGACCGTGTACAACAGAACGAAACATTGCTCGGTCCTGTGCCGTCCTCACAGTAGTAGGTATTTTTAAGCCCATCGTTGCAGCCACCATATCAGTCCATCTCGTTGAGGGTCTTGCTCTTTTTCGCTGACCCTCTACCAAGCATGATGTCCTTCTCCAGGGACTGGTCCCTTCTGATAACATGTCCAAAGTAAGACAAAGTCTCACCATCCTCACTTCTAAAGGAGCATTCTGACTGCACTTCTTCCCCAGACAGATTTGTTTGTTCTTCTGGCAGTCCATGGTATATTCAGTATTCTTCACTAGCATTATAATTCAAATGTGTCAATTCTTCAGTCATCCTTTTTCATTGTCCAGCTTTTGCATGCGTATAAGGCATCTGAAACGATCGTGGCTGGGGTCAAACATACCTTAAGTCATTAAAGTGACGTCTTTGCTTTTTAAGATTTTAAAGAGGCCTTTTGCAACAGATTTGCCCAGTGCAATATGTCATTTGATTTCTTGACTGCTGCTTCCATGGGCATTGATTGTGAATCCAAGTAAAATGAAATCTTTGACAACTTCAATATTTTCTCTGTTTATCATGAAAGGAGTGGGGAGGGGTAATTTGTTTTAATCACTGTGGCTTTCCACCTGAGCAATTAAACATGTCATTATAACCTACCCTGCCCTATTCCCCCACCTCCCCCGCAAAAAAAGACAAAATTAAGCAAGGGAATAGTTGGAACTTTTATTTTTAAAGAAATACTTAAGCTGTTTGGAGCTGGAATGCCCAAAGAGAAACACAGTGTCTATTAAAACAGATTAATTACTAAGTAAAAGGCAGTACTGACCGCCCTTCCTTCCTTCCTCCCTCCCTCCCTTCCTCCCTCCCTCCCTTTCTTTCTGTTTTTTAACAACTAGTTCTTCAAGCTAGGAGCCCTGGTGGCACAGTGGTTAAGTGCTCTGCTGTTCACAGAAAGTCAGCGGTTTGAACCCACTATCTGCTCTGCCGGAGAAAGGTGTGGCAGTCTGCTTCCGTAAAGATTTACAGCCTTGGGGCAGCTCTACCCTGTTCTATAGGGTTGCTAGGAGTCGGAATCAACTGGAAGGCAGTGAAGTTCTTAGAGCAGCAGAGGCCTAGATATTGAGTAGAGATGTGCTGCTGCTGAAGTCAAGCCTATCGATCCTCCTAAGTTATTTCTACTGTAGAAGGGAATTTAAGAGAATCTCTTATGATGTTCTGCGTTAGCACTTGAGGTTTTTCCCTTCTGCTTAAGAGATTTATATAAATAGCAAAATAAGTAGAATGTTACAGATAAACTTAAAAGCCCTCTCTTTGTTTCCCTAATCACATTCCCCTTCCCTTGAGACAAACTCCATCAGAAATTGGGTATCTTTCCAGTGTATCCTTTTATAGTTTTACTATATGTGCTCGTCTCCATGAATAATGTATAGCTTTGCTTTCTGTGTTTTTAATTACCACTTGCTTTTTCAACATTTGTTTTTGAGATCTATCCGTGTTGACCACTTCTAGGTCTAGTGCTTTAAGGAACAGAAGTTTATTTTCTTAAGTTCTGGAGGCTCAAAGTCCAAATAGGGTCTCGGCCGTGCTGATTCCTTCCTTGTCAGTAGTTCTAGGGGTTCCTTGGTTCCTTGACTTCCTCATATGGCATCTGGCTTCCCTGTGTGTGCGTGCCTCTGTGTCTAACCTGCACTTTTTTATAACTCAGAAGTGATTAGATTTAGAACCCACCCTATCTGGGTATGATCTAATTAGCATAGCAAAGAAAACCCTATTTCCAGATAGGATTACATCTACGAGTATAGGGGTTAGGATTTTGGGGGCAGGGGACACAATTCAATCCACAATACCTGGTCAGTTTAGAGCAAGGCAGAACTGTGGTTGACAATGACCTCGTTTCTTTTGTCACTTCGTACACATGGTATGTGATGTGTCTGTTTGCAGCCACTTGGTGTCTACCTTCTGCCTACCAGGTCCCATGAGAGGTGCTTTACTGTTACGACAAAATTCTCAAGTAAGTATTATTAGTCCATTTTACACTTGAAGAAACTGAGACACAGAAATTCCCTTAGCCTGGGAGTGGCAGAACTAAGATGGAGGCCTCTCTGGTTCCAAAGTCAGGTTCTTTCCATCATGCCACACAGCCTTTGAGAGGCAGCAGGTCCTCTTTTAGAACTCCGTTTATGCCCTATTCTGGTAATTTCTGGGTGTTGTGCTTTCAGATTTTTTTCTAAGCTTTGGGCTCTGGGTCTCAACTCCACAGCAACAGCAGGAACTTGATTCAGCACCTTCTTACCAGGGAGGTTCTTTTCCCAAAAGGTATTGTTGTTCAGGAGATGGGACTGGTAAAAGATGAATTGGAGCTTCAGAGTTTGATGTTTCTTCCAGATGAATTCCAGAGTGACAGGAACAAGACCAGAACAACTCATTATTCAAGGCTCCTGTGTATTTTTTTATAATTATAGTGCGCATCTCCTCAGCATTTACCAAGTGCCAGCCATTGTTACAAGCTGGGCACACACATTACCTCACTTAGTGCTTCCAACAACCCCAGAAGTGCAAGTCCTCAATCCCTTTTCCACGTCCTTTGGGGCAGATGTGCCTCAGAACTCAGAATTTTTCATATTTTTGAAAGAGAAATCTGTGCATATACTGTATTTTTCATAACACCCCTCAACAAGGTTGGGCATGGCACCAGTAATTAAACATATCAATATTTCTACAGCGAAGCATATAGATATTATGCTTAGTGCATGGCTTTTAACTGTTCTGCAATATTCCCTCATTTGTCATTGTCCTTCTAATGGGCTGTTAGGGTAACTGCGTTATGCTTTTAGGTTACAGACGATGCTGCAGTGAACACCTTGTGTGTATTTTCCTGGACTTTGAGGGACATGCAGTGTGGTGGGAAGCAAGATTTGAATTGTGGCTCTACCATTTACTAGCTGTGATGGTTTAGGTTGTGTGTTAACTTGGCTGGGCCATGATTCTCAGTGGTTTGACAGTCATATGGTGTTGTTCCATGATGAGA